ACTTCAATGTTATTCTCATTACCTTCTAAAGAAAGTAGGATACTAAAGCCTGGAAGTGCATCCTCAGAAGTATTATCAACCAAAATCGTGTCCTGTGCAACAGAGAGATTCTCTAGGGAGTGTGATAATTGTTCTCCATCTTCCCCTAATATAGGTGCAAGCATGCTAAGAAGGTCTTGACCTTCAATGGCATTCACTCCCTAAAAAAAGGAAAGAGAAATGAAAGCTAGAGTAAGTAGACGAACAAATGAATAAAGGATTAAAATATTATTATCTTACTGTTGGAAAATCATCAGAACAATTCTCCAAGTCAAGAGGATCCTCCTCCTCTACCACATCAATTTAGGGATGCAGATACCGAGCTCACTTAAAATGAATGTTTGAGTCTTCTTCTGAATGATCTAATGCCCTCTTAGAGTTAGAACCAACTTCTTTGGTGAGAAGGTTAGAACTTGAAGCAGTCTCCTTAGAAGTGGTAGTTCTCTTAATAAGACAAGTGGAAGCATCCTTTAAAGGACCAAGAACAAAGTGATTACACAATTGGGGAGATTCCTTCTTCAAGTCAATAACATTGATGATGTGTTGCACAGAATGCTTAAAATATTCATGTGAATTTCACCTCCACCATCTTGCATATGAAAAGGTAATGCAAACCTAATGATTCCTTTTCAGTGCAACAAAATGGATACCAAAACCTTCAACAAGGACATGCACCCAAGCCCGTGCTAAGTCATTAAGCGGCCAACTAGACCGGTTTGTAACTACAAAGGATAACCGATTACAAGCAATAACCTGGTCATAAACTCTTTGTACCAACTCGAACAGGTAATACGCGGGAACATATGCAAACCTAAAATTCAAGAGCTTTTCATGCCAAATTCTTGTCATGGAGCTTAATATCCTCATCCAATCCAATAACAGTTAAGTGAATATGAAAATTGCTTGCTTGGCGAAAAAATTCCTAAGCAAATCGATCACTCATTTAATGAGAACCCAAAGAGATTTAGCGGCACATGTATGGTTAAGAATACGGATACTCTCTACTAGAGTGCGGTCCAACATAGTTTGGAAAAAATACTCCCCCAACCAAGCAATTACATAATGGATGGGAAAATGAATCTTAGCATTGTTAGGGCCTGTATGACAAGTGGCTACTAAATTTAAAGCATGATAAATATAACCCAAAACAGTTAGAGCAAGAGATACCCTTTTGTCTGAAGCCATAATTGAGGTCATATAGAAGTTTTCAGACCTTACAACCCCCTTTCCATAAGGAAGGACGAAGATGCTTAGCCATAAGGATAAGAAAGGTACAAAGACACTCTTTAGAAGCTTTGAGAGGTAAAAGAGCTATCTTCCTTGGAAGTGGTTTCTACTTTCCATCATACCATACACCATTTCTCCCTATACAAGTGCTCTACCCAATGAGTATAGGAATAGTCTCCATCTCATGATGCTTGTAATCTTAGGAGCTATACTCGAAGTAGTAAAGGAGAGAAGAGAAACTCTGAAATGCAGTGAATGTCAAACTGAACTGCTCAGTCGATAGTATTATTATTTATATTATGATGTAGTACAATGATATAGGAAGTTACTGGAATGCCCCTGAT